TGTGTGTGCCAGGGCTTCACAGGCATTATCTCATTTAATCATCCCGACACCACTCTGAAGTGAGTGAATGATCCCACCTACAAGGTAAGGAAAACAAGGCTTAGAAGGCTTGAACCAGCTTGCCCAAGACCTCAGTTAGTAGTAGAAACAGAATCTGAACACAAGTAGTTAGATTTCAAAGCCAAAACTTTCAGCCACAGAGTTGTGCTGTCAGAGTAAGGTTGGAGCAAATAATGAACTTGAATGAGAGCCAGTGGCCCCTGATAATCTTGCTGCCCATGGCCAGCCTTTGATCCTTACTTAGCACAGAGAGCCAGCAGGGTTCCCCTGAGGCAGCTGCCCAGGTTGGGATGATGAATGGAGCCAGAGCAGCTTTGTATACAGATAGCTATTGTCTTAGCCTGTGCCTCTTTTTGCCCTTCTCTTAGAAACCAAAGGCCTCATTTCTAGTGCTAATTTCCATAAGGGAATTAGAATGGCTGGTTTTATACCCTTTCGGTAAGTATTCCTCTGCCCATTAAAACGTGGCCACAGTGATCCTCTTCAAGTTAATACCACCAATAATTGCTGCAGAATTAGCCTCAGGAGATGCAATGTTATAGAAGGAGTTGGGTTTTTCTGTTTTGTTTTTTTTTTCTCAGATAAAGAGTAAAGAGACCTTTGTGCTCTTGTTTTCAGTCAAGGTAATAAGTGGATTATGATATTAGAAAGGTTCAAAACCTTCCATTTTTTCTCTGCTAGATTTTGACTGTATAAAAAACACTTTATGGTCAATACATGCTTTGAGGTACTGTGGCCACTGATGCAAATGGTAAATAACTACATTTGAAGTTTTTGAGAGATGGAGTATTTCCTGCCATATCAGTAAGCAAAGATCAGTTATCAGCCATTCCAGCCCTCCAAATGTGAATTTCTGAGCCCTATGGGCATTCAGGAAGGAGAGTACCTGAGAGATCAGGCAGCCCTCCGGTTGCAGCCACTCCCTAAGGTGAGCACTGAGGATCTCAGAATGGGAAAAACTCAGGATACTGGCCCCAGATAGCTGAGATGCATATGAAAGGAATGATTTCAGTGAGCCCAGACTCTTGCATCTTCCTATACATAGAAAAGCACTAAATTCCTTGACTTGAGATACCTGGTTTTCTTTAAATCACAAAAATTCTTTTGATATTCAGACTACATGGCCTCTGTTGCAAACTTCTGTATAACCTGATTCCTTCCTGCCCACCCCACCCCACCCCACCCTCGCCCTCCCCTGGCCCCTGCAATCCCCCCACCTTCTCTGAAGCAGTTCTCTCAGGGCTACTTGAGATGCTTCCTCCTGGGCTTAAGTCCTAGAAATTTCTGTCGAATAAAACATAACTCTCAACTTTTAGGTTGAGACTTTTTTTTAAGTCAACATTTTCAAAGAAAGAACACAGAGACTTCTTATAGTAGCAGTGTGGCTATTTATTTATTTATTTTGACTTTTTATTTTGTATTGGGGTATAATCGACCGTTAACGAGATAATTTCAGGTGAACTGTGAAGGGACTCAGCCATACATATACATGTGTGCATTCTCCCCCCAAACTCCCTTCCATCCAGGCTGTGTGGCTATTTATTGAGTACTTACTGTATACCAAGTTCCTTGTGTCTTTTATTCACTGGATGCTTGTGACAATCCGGGGACAGGGGTGGTAGTGGTAGAGGTCTTGCTTTCCACTTTTTACACATGGGGACCTGGGGCCTGGAAAGACTGAGGAATTCATCCAGAGTCACAGGGCTCATGATGCCAGGATTTGAACTCACGAATGCCAGACTCAAGATTCCTAAGGACTATCCTCTGTCCTGTCCCTGAGATGTATCATTAGGCTACTTTTAGATGTCTGTTTTGAAATATGATCTGTATACCAAGAAGAGCCCACCAAAGTGTTGTATACTTGAAATAAATTAAGATGAGAATTTTTTTCATTGTGACCTTGTTTGTGATAACAAAAGCTTGAGAAGAACCTAAGCGTTCTATTTAGATGATTAAAAAAATTATGGTAGATCCACACAATAGAACGCTATACAGAAAAATAAGTAGATAAAATCTCTGTGTACTGAATGGAAAGCCCTCCTACGTGTATTGTTTTGGTTAATACAAAAGCAAGCAACAATGTCATGTGGCAGCCTGGATGGGTGGAGAGTTTGAGGAGGGATGGAGACATGGACATGTATGGCTGAGTCCCTTCGCTGCTCACCTGCAACTATCACAACTTTGTTAATCGGCTATACCCCAATACAAAATACAAAGTTTAAAAAAAAAGAGAGCAAGAAGACTGGAGACATTGTGCTATGCTACCATTTGTAGTGTAAAAGGAAATGGTATCTGCACAGCTATGTAATTCTTCAGTCTGTAGTATTTATGCTGAAAAAGAAAAAACATGAAACTAATTTTAATAACATTTTAATTCAGAATATCCAAAATTTTATCATTTCAACCTATAATCATTATAAAATTATAATGAGATATTTGACATGCTTTTTAATGTCCTTAATATGTCTTTAAAATCTCTTGTATATATCAAGTGTGAAATAGATCACCAGTCCAGGTTAGATGCATGAGACAAGTGCTCAGGGCTGGTACACTGGGAAGATCCAGAGGGATGGGGTGGGTAGGGAGGTGGGAGGGGGATTCAGGATGGAGAACACATGTGAATCCATGGCTGATTCATGTCAATGTATGGCAAAAACCACTACAATATTGTAAAGTAATTAGCCTCCAACTAATAAAAATAAGTGAAAAAAAAATCTCTTGTATATTTATCACTGAATATCTCAGTTTGCTTTTTTTTTAAAAAACTCTCTAATTTATTTTATGTAGTATTGTTACTAACAGAACTTTTCCTGGGATAAGTGCTGGAATTCCCAGCAATGATTAATGTATTTACAAAGTATTTAACAAGGTTACATGTATTGTTTTAATTTGGATAATCTGCTGTGACATGGTAGATGATCCTTGTTTTTTATTTCATTTTATTGACATGTAAATTCTATTCCTCTACTACATGAGGAAAGAAAGATAAATGTTACAACTAATCATGTAAGTTTTTAAATTATTCAAAACTGAGATCTCCATGATTTCATGTCATATGGTGCCCCTGTTCATCAATTTTAAATATTAGGATCTCAGTGGAATGAATGTTGTCTTAACTTGCCATAACAAAATACCATAACTGGGTGACTTGAACCACAGAAGTGTATTTTCTTACAGTTCTAGAGGCTGGAAGTCTGAGATTAAGGTGAGAACCCTCTCTCTGGCATGCAGACTACTGCCCTTCTCGCTGTGTCCTCGCATGGCAGAAAGAGAGAGCGAGCGAGGTGAGCGGAAGAGCGAGCGAGCAAGAGAGAGACACAAGCTGACTGATGTCTCTTAATGAGGACACAGATCCCATCTTGCTGCAGAAGGAAATGGCAACCCACTCCAGTATTCTTGCCTGGAGAATCCCGTAGAGAAGCCTGGTGGGCTACCGCCTGTGGGGTTGCAAAGAGTCAGGCATGACTGAGCACGCACACATGCATCCCATCTTGAGGGTTCTACCCTCAGGACCCCAAGTAACCATTACCTCCCAAAGACCCCCATCTGTAAATACCATCACATTGTGTGTTAGGGCTCCAACATGCATTTTGGAAAGACTTTCAGGCCATAACAAGTGTTGTTATGGTTTTAGGATGATGATCCTTCTTTGGTTAAGCTACCTCTAAATTTGGGGGAACAGTAACAAAACAAGGCAAATAACCCTATTACTATAATAACAATGGCTTTGAAATTTCAAACCCCAGGGCACAGTTCTGGTAAGCAAAAAAGCATTTAGCAAAGGAGAACTTATTTACTTAAGGTGGCTGACTTGAATGATCTACAACAGAGGTTGACAAACCAGAGCCCTTGAGTCAAGTATGTCTTTTATGTTTCATATGGTTGACAAAAGAAACATAAGAAGATGGTTTTGTGACATCTAAAGATTATATGTAATTTAAATTTAAGTGTTCCTAAGTATTACTGGAATTACCCATGCTCATTTGTTTATATATTGTCCATGGCTGCTTTTATCCTACAACAGAGGTGAGTAGCTGCAATAGAGCCTAAAATATTATTCCCTAGCCATTTAGAGCGGAGAAGACAATGGCACCCCACTCTTGCCTGGAAAATCCCATGGATGGAGGAGCCTGGTAGGCTGCAGTCCATGGGGTCGCTAAGAGTCGGACACGACTGAGCGACTTCACTTTCACTTTTTACTTTCATGCATTGGAGAAGGAAATGGCAACCCACTCTAGTGTTCTTGCCTGGAGAATCCCAGGGACGGGGGAGCCTGGTGGGCTGCCGTCTATGGGGTCGCACAGAATTGGACACGACTGAAGTGACTTAGCAGCAGCAGCAGTCATTTAGAGAAAAGCATTTGCCAATCGCTGCAGACAAAGCTGGCCAATGACTTGCTTTGCCTATTTCCAGGTCTAAACCTTAGTTGAAAATATTATTTCAAAAGGATGCAGAGCCATACCCACTAACAGTGGGAGAAATGGATCCAGAGACAGAATATTTACCCTAAAGCCTGGCATGAACTATTCTAGTTGTCCAGCTTCAAGTGATCTAATGCCTGCCCTAGATTTTCCAAGAAAAAAATAAAAGAGAAGGACAGATGGCCTTACTGGAGGATGGAAGAAGAAAGCCTGGAAGAAGAAGAAGAAAGTAGTCATTTGCTGATACTTTCATTCCCTGGGAAGTTTAATCCTTACCAGATATAGTCAAGGGTTCTGGAATTGGACCAATCTGGGTTAAGATTGATCTTTCTTTGAGCGTCTACCCTTTGATTGATGCTTCTCCCTCAAGTCCAAGGAGAGAAAGGAATGGGAGCTAAGAAGGATACCCTTTGTAGAATTAGCGTTAATCAATGAAATCAGTGTCAGTGTTGACCTCTCAGGCCACTTCCTTTGTTTCTGACTTGTCATGTTTTCCCTCCTCACCCAATACATACAAAGGTAATTTTAAAGGATGTGGACTCCCTTCTCTACGTGGACACCGATGTTCTCTTTCTGCGACCTGTTGATGACATCTGGAAGCTTCTGAGGCAGTTTAATTCCACTCAGCTTGCAGCCATGGCCCCCGAGCATGAAATCCCCAAGATCGGCTGGTACAGCCGCTTTGCCCGGCACCCTTTCTATGGCTCCGCGGGGGTTAACTCAGGAGTCATGCTAATGAATTTAACTCGGATAAGAAGTGCCCAGTTCAAGGTAAGAAAGTAGTTTATATTTCCTTTTTTAAACATCAAGGCTTTGTCTTCTCAGCGTGACGTTCCCGGAGTGTCAGTGTATTGACTTTAGAAGTAGATGGCTTGTAGAAGAAGCCAGGGAAGAGAAAGGCATTTGGAAAGTTACAGAATATTTGTTGGTTTAGGAAAATCCCAGGTGATTATGGAATTTAAAACTCTTCAACAGAGTTACTATTTGGGAACATTATGTTGCATTTCTGAATTCCATCTTTAAACCCTGTGTGTATCTCAGCCTTCAAAAACCTTGGAGAACTCCTTGAAATTACCCTAGGGATAAATTTACATAAATATACAGAGATAAATGAAGAAGGCCTCAGCTTTTATCTTGGCAAAGAACTGGAAGAACCTAAATTAACATCAGTAGAGAACAACTCAAAAAAAATTATCCTCCTACTAAAAAGGATTAGGTCAAATCTGTAAGTGAGATAAGTAAGATCTAAAAAAATATTAAGTGAAAAAATTTAAATGCAACAAAGCATGGTACCATAGGGTGTGATTCCTTTTATGCCTTAGACATTTCCAGAAGAATACCTAAGAAACTGGTCATTAATTGTGGCTCCATCTAGAGAAAGTGGGAATGGGAATTGTAGGAAGCAGAAGGAAAAATATTTTTACTTTTTACATCTTTGTGTGCTGTCTGAATATTTAGTGTGAATATGTTGCTTTTGGAGAAGGCAATGACAACCCACTCCAGTACTCTTGCCTGGAAAATCCCATGGACGGAGGAGCCTGGTAGGCAACAGTCCTTGGGGTCGCTAAGGGTCAGACACGACTGAGCGACTTCACTTTCACTTTTCACTTTCACTTTTCACTTTCATGCATTGGAGAAGGAAATGGCAACCCACTCTAGTGTTCTTGCCTGGAGAATCCCAGGGACGGCGGAGTCTGGTGGGCTTCCGTCTACGGGGTCGCACAGAGTCGGACACGACTGAAGTGACTTAGCAGCAGCTGCAGCAGCAGCATGTTGCTTTTGTCTTAAAAATAAATACTTGTTGTGAGATCAGGAAAGGGTATTTTTCCTTCAGTTCAGTTCAGTCGCTCAGTCATGTCCGACTCTTTGCGACCCCATGAATCACAGCACGACAGGCCTCCCTGTCCATCACCAACTCCCGGAGTCTACCCAAACCCATGCCCATCGAGTAGGTGATGCCATCCAGCCATCTCATCCTCTGTCGTCCCCTTCTCCTCCTGCCCCCAATCCCTCCCAACATCAGGGTCTTTTCCAATGAGTCAACCCTTTGCATGAGGTGGCCATAGTACTGGAGTTTCAGCTTCAGCATCCGTCCTTCCAATGAACTAAGATACCTTGATTATGGTATCTGTATTTTGTTGCTTCACTTCAGAGGCAAGAATTTAGTGTAACAAAGGAAGGCTCAGTCTGGGCCTGCTTTTCTGAGAGGCCACAGGCCCACTTCTAGTTCCAGGTTCGCCTGCCATCCGTGTGTTCGCCTGCAGTCTCCGGTCCTAGCTTTGCTTTCCTCTGTGCCTTGAGGCCAGCAGGACCCTTCCCCTATTGATTTCATTTTCACTCTGGGGGGCAGAGAGTACAGGGGAGAACTCACCCCAGTACACTGATACTCAGCAGATCAGATGTGTTTGCCATGCTGTAGCCAGTGTGATGGTTTTGTCTTTTCCAGAACAGCATGATTTCAACAGGCTTGGCTTGGGAGGACATGCTGTACCCTCTCTACCAGAAGTACAAGAATGCCATCACTTGGGGAGACCAGGACTTATTAAATATTATTTTTTATTTCAACCCAGGTAGGTTCTCTTTCAAGAATGTGGTTCATGGAGGAGTTCGCCCACCTCACCCCACAGAACACATTCCAGCCTGGATTGTGTTGGCGGAGCCTGAATCGTGGCTGTGTCCCCTGCAAAGCGGGCCTTGTCATCCGCCCTTGGGGTCTCACGTGGGCCGTCCTCTCACTGCCAACACAAAAGGTCAAATGTTGAAACCTCCAACACTGGGCTCCATTTTTCAAGAATATCTTTTGGTTTTTGCCATGCCATTCTTTGAAGAAGTACAGGCAAAATAAATGAGTGGCACAGACCTAAATGAAAACATTATAATCCACGCGCAAGGCCCTCCATAGACTAAACAATTGCTAGATTGAAGGGACTTGATTCTTGGGATCCTGACAGTGAAGGGACTTGTTCAGGGTTAAAACAATGTAGAAGAGGGACCAAGAATACATTTCCCTCTTTCTTTCCACCTGGGGCAAAGAAATTCTTCAAGTCAGTGATTTGGTGGACTTGGGGAAAGAAGGGGGATGTAAGTTTCTGGTCTGCATCTTTATATTGACACCTAAAGCTAAACATTTCCTTCTTTTCTTTCATCTTTACCACAGTCTTACTTAATGTGATTGAAATCAAAACCATGTTTTCTCTTTGGGAAACATCTCTGGGGAAAAAAAATTACTCCTCACCATAACCTACTCAGGATTCTCCTTGGTCTTTAAAAATCTTGAAATAGAGAATTTCCTGGTGGTCCAGTGGTTAAGACTTGGGCTTTTACCACCCTGAACCAGGGTTTGATCCCCAGTCGGAAGCTAAGATCCCATAAGCCATGCGATGTGACCCAAAAAAAAAAAAAAAAATCCTGAAATAGAGGCTCCTGTTTTCTAAGACTTCTCTCTCTGTATGTACCTGTATTTGGTTTTTTACAAAATTCGGAAATAAAGCCTAGTCTCATATGTCTTTAAATCAAAAAGGAGCAAATCCTGGAAAAGAAAAAAAACAGGTTGATATGTAATGGACTTCATTTCTGGGGAAGATTCCTGATACTAACTCTTGTGATGAAGGGAGTGTGTTGGCTGTTGGTTCGTGGTGTGTTTTAGTCCATTTCACTCTGATAGCAACAGGGACTTTAAAGTCAGCCCCTCCTCCTTTTTCTTCTTAAGCAGATTCCATCTTTTTTTCTAGGTGTAGTTATACTGAGTAGGACTCTTGGCTACAAATAAAAGGCCCCTGGAGTTAGTCTAGACACAAAGGATACTTTTTTTTTTAATAAGCAAACTGGTGTCCTGTAGAAATCTAGAGCAGGAAGACCTGAAACAGGCAAGGGAAAAGGCTGAGCAGCCCAGGCTAGGCTTTCCTTCTTCCACTGAGGCTGTGCATTTCTCGCTTCAAAGGTTCTCATTCTGTGCTCACAGCACAATACCACAGTTTCACACTCCAGGTCCAGCCACAAGGAAAAACTACCTTCATCCCACTTCCAAATTCCCGGGGGCGCGGGGGTGGGTAGGAAACAGATGTTGGCAGCCTGTCGGCCAGGAGCCTGAAGCTAAGGAATAACGACTGATGTTGATTATTTACGGAGTGTCAGGTGTTGTTCTGAGCATTTTCTTATTTAATTTTCATAGGAACTCTGATAGAATCCCCATTTTACAAAGGTACCAAATGAAAGAGAGTTATATAATTTGTGGCATAGCTAATGAGTGCCAGAGCAGGGGTACAAGCCCAGGCCTTTCCAACTCCAGCCCCATGTCTTTGGGTGGGGGGGGAGGTCTCCTAGTGAGGGGGGTGTCTAAAGAGCTGTGCAGTTTTCCCCAAATGTGTCCCTCTCCTGCATTATTTTATCCTTTATTTCAGGGGTCCCCAGTCTCCAGGATCTATGGCCTGATCTTCTCAGGTGGAGCTGATGTAATAATAATGGAAATAAGGTGCACAATAAATGTAATGTGCTTAAATCATCCCCAAACCACACCCCCACAAGCCTGGTCCATGGAAAAATTGTCTTCCACAAAACTGGTCTGTGGTGCCAAAAAGGTTGGGGAACACTGCTTTATTGCATTTTTCCTCTCTGTTGTGTGGCTTAAACACTCTTCCATAGCCTATCTGTCCATATTCCCAAATTGAGGAATTCAAAAGATCTGCTCAATTGCCTCCCCAGAAATCCTCTTAGCCTGTTGCAGAATATTTGAGGACATGATCAGTGAGTGAATAATACTCAAAGGCGGTCACAAGCAGTTCTGCCATTAGACCGAGACCCTTGTCTTTAATTAATCTGAAAACCAGCTGAATTTAATGGTGCCCCAATGTCCATCTTAGATCCATTGAGTACGAGGATTTTATAAAATAATTAGGAAGTTGTTCTGAATCCTGAGTCTGAGCAGTAGCAAGTAAGTAACGGAGTTTCCTCACTTTAGGTCAGTAAGTATTAGGTGTCTCTTTGAGTGTTCTTTGTATGGCCTGCCTTTGATCTTTCATGCTTTATTCAGATTCTTTATCAAACATGAGCTCTTTGACCTGAAATCCAGTGATATCCATCATATTAAAGGTTTTTCTTTGTTTGTATTGATTGGGAGCACTTTCTATAAACCAGAACAAACAGTATTTGAGGAAAAAAAAAGGTGTTACCTTTATCCCTGGAAAGGAGAGAGGAAGAGAAAGTTGGCCATGACTCAGGAAATAAACATGCTTATTGTTATGATTCTCTGGGTTGCCATGGGTGAAGCGCTACACACAAAACCTGAGCCCAAATCTAGAATACTTTCATTCTTATAGCTTCCTGTAGCCAATCATATCACTAAAACGGGTTTACAAATCATTAGCTTAAAAATGTGAAACTCTTGGTATAGTTAGATAGTAAATGCCTGTGGGTGTGTAATTGTCATGCTGAGTACTGGACTGACTCACGAGGTGACAGCTGAAGCCCATGAGAGACACACAGGCAACTCATCCCAAGGGACTTTTCCTGGCAGTGAGCCAAGGCAGTTTCTTTTTTTTTTTTTAATTTACAGGTTTATTTTTTTTTTCCATTTATTTTTATTAGTTGGAGGCTAATTACTTTACAACATTGCAGTGGTTTTTGTCATACATTGAAATGAATTAGCCATGGATTTACATGTATTCCCCAACCCGATCCGCCCTCCCACCTCCCTCTCCACCCGATCCCTCTGGGTCTTCCCAGTGCACCAGGCCCGAGAACTTGTCTCATGCATCCAACCCGGGCTGGTGATCTGTTTCACCCTAGATAATATACATGTTTCGATGCTGTTCTCTTGAAACATCCCACCCTCGCCTTCTCCCACAGAGTCCACAAGTCTGTTCTATACATCTGAGTCTCTTTTTCTGTTTTGCATATAGGCTTATCGTTACCATCTTTCTAAATTCCATATATATGTGTTAGTATACTGTAATGGTCTTTATCTTTCTGGCTTACTTCGCTCTGTATAATGGGCTCCAGTTTCATCCATCTCATTAGAACTGATTCAAATGAATTCTTTTTAATGGCTAAGTAATATTCCATGGTGTATATGTCCCACAGCTTCCTCATCCATTCGTCTGCTGATGGGCATCTAGGTTGCTTCCATGTCCTGGCTATTATAAACAGTGCTGCGATGAACATTGGGGTGCATGTGTCTCTTTCAGATCTGGTTTCCTCGGTGTGTATGCCCAGAAGTGGGATTGCTGGGTCATATGGCAGTTCTATTTCCAGCTTTTTAAGAAATCTCCACACTGTTTTCCATAGTGGCTGTACTAATTTGCATTCCCACCAACAGTGTAAGAGGGTTCCCTTTTCTCCACACCCTCTCCAGCATTTATTGCTTGTAGACTTTTGGATAGCAGCCATCCTGACTGGCGTGTAATGGTACCTCATTGTGGTTTTGATTTGCATTTCTCTGATAATGAGTGATGGTGAGCATCTTTTCATGTGTTTGTTAGCCATCTGTATGTCTTCCTTGGAGAAATGTCTGTTCAGTTCTTTGGCCCATTTTTTGATTGGGTCATTTATTTTTCTGGAGTTGAGCTGGAGGAGTTGCTTGTATATTTTTGAGATTAATCCTTTGTCTGTTGCTTCGTTTGCTATTATTATCTCCCAATCTGAGGGCTGTCTTTTCACCTTGCTTATAGTTTCCTTTGTTGTGCAAAAGCTTTTAAGTTTCATTAGGTCCCATTTGTTTATTTTTGCTTTTGTTTCTAAAATTCTGGGATGTGGGTCATAGAGGATCCTGCTGTGATTTATGTCGGAGAGTGTTTTGCCTATGTTCTCCTCTAGGAGTTTTATAGTTACTGGTCTTACATTTAGATCTTTAATCCATTTTGAGTTTTATTTTTGTGTATGGTGTTAGAAAGTGTTCTAGTTTCATTCTTTTATAGGTGGTTGACCAGTTTTCCCAGCACCACTTGTTAAAGAGGTTATCTTTTTTCCATTGTATATCCTTGCCTCCTTTGTCGAAGATAAGGTGACCATAGGTTCGTGGATTTATCTCTGGGCTTTCTATTCTGTTCCATTGATCTATATTTCTGTCTTTGTGCCAGTACCATACTGTCTTGATGACTGTGGCTTTGCAGTATAGTCTGAAGTCAGGCAGGTTGATTCCTCCAGTTCCATTTCTTCTTTCTCAAGGTTACTTTGAGCCGAGGCAGTTTCATCAGGAAATGGAAGATGAACTCACATCTTTATAGGTGAATTTGAGTCAAGAGCAGAGTTCTGTAGGAAGAGTAAATTTGACAAGGGCTCATAGAGAACCTGATTTAGAAAGATGTGCTTAGATTCACACATACTTAGGTTTCAGGGAATAAAATTCTACTCAGACCAACTAAGTAGGGGTCTAGGTGCCAGTCTCATGAACACATGGGTCAGATCATACCAGGCCTCTGAGAACCATCTCTGGGCAGCTGCTCAGGACCAAAGCTGATTTCTTCATCCCTCAGAGGCCTCATGGCATCTGCCTTATTGCTTCTGCTCATCTGATTCCATTCCATCTCTCCAGCAATATTCTTTGCTTGTGTGTGGCCCAACATCAGGTCAACAG